CGGCCGCCTGGGCGCGCCGTCCTCGGGGACGCGGGCTCCGGCGGCGCCCTGGGCGCGCTTCTCGGCCTGGCTGGAGTGCGTGTGCGTGGTCACTTTCGACCTGGAGCTGGGCCAGGCGCTGGAGGTGAGCGGCCGGGCGGCCGGAGGGGACGCGGCCGGGCGGGGGGGCTGGGCGGTGGGCGCGCCCTCCTGCTCTGTCCCCCTCGGGCAGACCCCGGGCGGCCTCTTCCTCCCCGAAGCCCTGCCTGTCACCTCCGGAAAGGTGCACCCCCAGGCAAAGGAAGGGAGTCAAGCTGCCTAGACTTCCCCTCGGGAGGAGGAGAGAGGAGCTTTGATTTTTCCCTAGTAACCACCTGTCTCCTCTCCCCCGTGTCCCCACGCTGGCTATGGTACCTACGCCCTTCAGTTGCTCCAGCCAGAATCCGGGGGGTCACCCTTCACTCCTCCACTCTGCTTCCTATCCGTGGACAAGGCTGACAGCTCCGCTTGTGACAGTGATCTCAGATCCGTTACTTCGGCTGTTGTCACTCCCATCTCACTGTCCCGCAAAGTCCAGCCTTGTGGCTCTCCTGTTTACAATCCTTCGACAGCTCCTATTCACTTAGAATTAGATCCAGACTCTTGTGGGTCACATTCCATCCAAGCTAGTCATCTTTTTGTTCACAAGTGGCATCCAGCTCACCTGGCCTGGGGTGTTCCCACTGCCTGCAAGGCCCCTCTCCACCCCCACCCACATGGGCAGCTTCTCTTCCTCCAGGTGTAAATGAAAATATGATGCACTCAGGGAGGGAGGCCTTCTGCAGGCCTGTCAGGGTGGTCTTCTCTACGCCTGCAAGGCGGTGACACAGAGCAGGGAGTTGACCAGTGCAGGGGAGGCTGGGAGGTAGACTTCACCACACTGTCAGAAGGAGCTTTCTGAGAGCCCGAGGGGCAGTGCACCCTGTGACTGCAGTTGGCCAAGGTGAGGCTCAGCAGCCATCCTCAGGAAAGCTGGTGCAATGCTGGGATGAGGGGACGTTTTCTAAGGCCCTGCTGAAGTCCTCGAGGCTATGGGAAGCCCAAGCCTTCTAAACAGAAAAGGCTGACTCAGCGAGGACTCTTGGGTCCTGGCACAGTGCCCAGCTCTGTGGAGATGCCATTCCACCACACACATCCCCACCAGGCGTGTGTTATTGTGACAGCCCTGCTTGACAGAGGAAGGGAGAGCACAGAGAGGTGATGTGATTTGCTCAGCGTCACAGACCCCAAATTCTTACTGTTGTCCAAATTGTTCCCAATAAAATCACAAGAGAAGTTGACATTCTTCTGTCTCCTGAGGCATTCTCATGTATAACTTTTTAGAACTTAACTGTTCAGAAGGCCAATTCAAAGCAAGAATCGTTAAGAGTTCTGTGTGCTTGGGCTCCTCAGCCTTTGCTGAGGCTGCACAGCTCAGGGAGGGGGTGTTGGGGACCGCAGGCCACCTCTGAAATGCTCCAGACTATTGATCTGAGCCCCTCCAAATCATCAGGTCTGTTCAGAAATGGGGCCATGGCTCCATGGGCATGGCCACACGGCCCTTGTCAGGTCTGCCTCTTGCCTTTCCTCCCTTCCCTGGAAATCCTGGGGAAGATTGAGGGTCGTTTCAGTGGAGCCCAAAGGCTTTCAGGGAGCACCTGCCTCATGCTCTCTTATTCACAGCTCAGCCTGGCTGAGCACCACAAACACCTTGGCACTGCACGTGGTGGGGGACACAGACGGAAGAGCCAGGGGCTGCCTTCCAGGAGTGCCATGAACAGACGCAGCTCAGAGAAAGGAACGGGGCTTGGCCAAATCTTGGAAGATGAGAAGGAGACAGCCAGATGGGGAGTGGGGACTGTTTCAGGTAATCCCTCCCCCAGAAGAGCCAAGACAAGGAGCTGTCCATTCATTTATTCAATAAATCAAGTATTGAGCAGCTGCCACCAGCCAGGCCCTGCAGTACTGTGCTGGCCGTAGGGGACACAGAGTTAAGTGAGAAGACAGGCCCTGCCCTCCAGGAGTTCACATTCTGTGCTAGCGACACAGGGAGTAAGTGGTTCAGGACCCCCAGCATGCACAGGATGTGTGGGGGTCCCGTGCACATGGGTGCACTGAAGTCTGGGGGCGAGGCAGCAGTCAGACTGAGAGGAGAGCGGGCGAGGCTGTGGGGGGCAGGAAAGCACAGATCAGCTGAGGAAAAGACTTGGCTCTGCCATCTCAGCTCTTGGAAACTCACCTCAGTATCCCCGCTAACCCAGGACACCTGTGGAGTGAGCTGCAGCCGGAGGGCCCAGAGCCGCTTCTCCACCGCAGCTTTCACGCCCTGCGAGTCTGCAGCTCCCACGCTGCACAGTCTCAGGACCCTTCACAGTCTTAAAAGTTATTGAGGACCAAAGAGCTTTCTGTGTGGGTTTCATCTATAAATGTTTACCATACCACGAATTAAAACTGAGAAAAATTTTTTTTTAAAGATTTTATTTATTTATTTTCCCCCCAAAGCCCCAGTAGATAGTTGTATGTCATAGCTGCACATCCTTCTAGCTGATGTATGTGGGACGTGGCCTCAGCATGGCCGGAGAAGCGGTGGGTCGGTGCGCGCCCGGGGTTCCAAACCCGGGCCGCCAGTAGCGGAGCGCACGCGCTTAACCGCTAAGCCACGGGGCCGGCCCGAAACTGAGAAAATTTTTAAATATTAATAATAAAAAATTATTAATACCCTATGTATTAATATAAATAACAGATTTTTATGAAAACAATCACATTTTCCAAAACAAAATTTAGTGAGAAGAGTGGCATCATTTGACACTTTTGCAAACCTTTTTAACATCTGGCCAAATAGAAGGCTGCTGAATTCTCACATCAGCCTCTGCAGTCGGTGTCCCACGATGGTCTGTCACAGCCTCTGGAAACCACACTGCATGCAAGGGAGAAGATGAGACTGAAGAAGGCAGCTTGGACCTTGCAGAGCCCCGGAGTACTCAGACCTCACTTTGAGAAGCCCTGTCCTAGAGGTACCTTCTCAAAGCAAAGTTCACTGTATCTGTCTTCTTCGGATGACTGGGTTCCAGGAGCAGCAGCCCGTGCAGGCTGGCTCAGGTGAAAAGGACGAGACACTCGTGGGCCTGGGAGGACAGGGGGATCATCGTGCAGGAAACTCCTCACTCTCTGCCTCTCTCTGAGGGTCTGCTCCATTTCTTCCCTCACCGTGGCATGGCCCAACTTGGCTAGCCTGACCTCTGGCCTCTGCTCCCAGGAGAGGATGCACCAGCCCGTGGATGTGGGTTTCCCCCATCAAGTGACGTGGAGCTTGGAGGCCAAAGTGGCCTGCTCAGACCAGATTGAGACCCCTCAGCTCAGCGCAGAGTGCCCATCATGGTCTTGTCCGGCCACCAGGCACCCGCCTTTCCTCGGTCCTCCTCAACGCAGACACACAAGGGCATGACCTGGGGAGGTCCTGTGGCCCCTGCCCCTCTCAGAGCTGTCCCAAGTGCTGCTGTGGGTCCAGCCCCGTAGACAAATACTCTTCAGCCCCCCTTCTGCCTCTTGGCCCTTCCTTCTTGGTGCCTCCTTAGCTGAGATTTCCGCGTGACCCACCTGTTCTGTTACACCTCACAGACGTGTTTTCACACACTCCACAAGTCCCGTGTCTGGTGAGGGTCCATTCTCTGCCAGGGGCTGGGAGGCAGAAGAGCCTGGGATATTGTCCCTATACTCAGGACACTGGATGTGCAGCCGAAGAGACAGAATAGGACCATAGCAGCAAGTTCAGAGCAAACGAGGACAAGAAGCTATGTCATTCCAACAGCGTGGGCCCCTGGGTGCAGCACCTCACCCTGTCTGGGGTTTCAGGGCACACCCCAGAAGCCTCATTTTGGCCAAAACCCAACTCCTCAGCGTAGAAATTCGGCAGGTGGAGTGAGGAGGGGGTCCATGCCTGCAGGACCCACCAAGGGCTCCTGGCACAGCTACTGCCTGGGAGAGCTGGCCCAATGCGTGTGAACACAGCACAGGGCAGCAGTGAAGCCCAAGGCACACCCCAGGAGACACCTCGGGGGCCCGCTCTGGAGCTCCCTGCCTTTGGGGTGTCCTACAAGGAAATCCATTCTGGCCACATGCCTGTGCACAGAGCGACTGGGCCTGAGATCAAGCCTCAGCCTGCTGCCTCCTCTAGCGTGTGGCCTGTTGCTTGGTGTCTGTGCTTTCACTGACTGTCCACTCCCAAGGGGTGTAGGGCTCATCCAGCTGGGCACACTCACTGGACACTGCCGGGGCCCAGGGTGCTCTCCTGGGGCTCACACTCCAGGTACGGCACAGGTCAGAAGCTCCTGCACCCCTGACTAGTGGGGTTTGGGGTGAAGATGCTCAAGCTGCCGTCAAGAGGCGGGGACACCACTGTGTCAGGTGACATCTGAGTAAAGACAGGGAGATGAGGAGGCTGGCCAGGCCCAATCTGGGGGTCAGGCCTAGGGAACAGTACGCCCAAGACCCTCCAGCTGGGTGGGGTGGGGTTCGGGTGGCAGAGAGGGCGCTGGAGGCAGGGGCCAGCAGGCAGGGCCCTGTGACCACTCCAAGCAAGAGGGGAGGCCACAGGAGGGCTCTGAAACGCCGCCCCCTGAAGCTGTGGGGACAGACTGTCGGGATGGCAGAGGCAGGGAGGCCCCACCACAGTCTAGGCGAGTAGCCCTGAGGCGAGAGGGTTAAGAAGGGAGTCAAGGAGCTTGCCGAGGTGTGGTGGCCAAGGCAAGGGAAGGACATGTGGCCTCGTGCTGAGAGGGGTCAGGGGGAGGGCAGGAGGGTCTCAGCCGGTGAAGACATGCCTGAGGAGGGAGACAGCGCTGGGAAGAGGAGAGGGTGAGGGGAACACACCTACAGCCTGGCAGGTACCACACCCACCCAGCTGACATCACCGGGTGCTCTGTGTCCCCCACAGCTGGTGTACCCCAGCGACTTCCGGCTCACGGACAAGGAGGTGGGTCCCGGCTCTCTTGGGAGCAGACATCGCCCAGGAGTGAGCCAGCCCTCACCGGGTTTCGTGTATTTCAGAAAAGCAGCATCTGCTACCTGTCCTTTCCTGACTCCCACTCAGGTAGGCGACCCCAACTCTCTCCGACCTGGAGTCTGCTCCGGGGCTAGGGGGTGAGAGGAAGAAGGGGGGGATATGAGGCCATCCAGAAGCCCCGTGACCCAGGCCAAGGGCATCACAGCTGCCGGTGTGCACGGCTTGAAAGTGCCAGCCCCACTACCCCCTGCAGCAGTGGTGGCCGGGTTCCCCCGATTCATGTGGAAAGAGATGTCTCTGGGCAGAGGGAGCAGCGGAGTCTGTTCTCCTTCACCCCACCACAGTGGCCACCAGGAGCTGGGTCTCGGCCCCTGCTCCCCACCAGGCTCAGGTGTGTGGGCAGGCCTGGTTTTCTGTCCCAGGCACACTGGGCCCCACACCACGGTCTCCCACTCTCCACCTGTGCTTGCTCACAGCTGATGCTTCTCTGTGGGCTGAGTTTATTCTAAAACTCCTAGGTGCAAGGTGTGCAGGAATTAAGACCCAGGGACTTCCATTGGGAGGTGCCGGGGTTTCTCTCTGGGGCACTTACAGTCCTGCAGAGGCCTGGTCCCCACCCCCACTTGCTGGCAGGACAGGCTCCAGCCCTGACATGCATGGCAGGGGCCGCTTCCCTTCCCAGGCTGCCTCGGGGACACGCAGTTCAGCTTCCGAATTCGTCAGTGTGGAGGGCAGAGGAGCCCCTGGCACGATGATAGGCGCTATGACAGTGGGGCCCCCGTGTCACTGCAGGTGAGCCTGGGCTGCCTCTCCAGCCTGCTCCGCCCTCTATCCCCGAGGGCTGGGGTCGTGGGCTGGCGCAAACAGCCTTTTTACTTCAAGGCGCCCGGGCCCTTTGTGGCAGGAGAGGTGACAGCCAGCCCCAGCCTCAATTGGGCATGGGCCAGCTCTTCTGGGGACTCACCAGGGTCCCTGGAGCTTTTTCTGAGCACCACATGTGGCTTGGTGTGCAGAGGCCCCATACACCTTCAGTGTGGGTGGTCCCAGGCCCCTGAGCCGCTCACCACTGTCTGCGATGTTCCCTGTAGAGGTGTTGCCCACCGTCTGAGCCAAGGACCCCCAGGCCTGCCCCCCATGGCTGGGGAGAGCCTGGAGCAGCCTCGGCAGGATGGTCTGGGTGGGCAGGAGGGAGCACGGGCAGTGGGCGCAGCCTGGCTGACCCCACTCCTTCCAGAGGGAGCCAGCCCACTACTTTGGCTACGTGTACTTCAGGCAGGTGAAGGACAGCTCTGTGAAGAGGGGCTACTTCCAGAAGGTAAGCCACCTGGCTGCTCTGGGGCGGCGCCACTGAGAGGCAGGGGCTGGCGGCCATCGGGAAGTACTGACAGGCTAGGAGGTCCAGAGCCTCCAGGAGTGCCCACTCCTTCCACAGCTCCCAGCCCCTTGGCACTAGGCGGAGCCCACTGCCCAGGCCACAAGGCCTACCCCACCTGGGGCGGGTGCCACTGTGCCCAGCTCTCCTTGTGGTCCCTGCAAGGAATGGGCCCTGCTGCTCCTTCCTTGCCCGGCACAGCACCCATGGCCTCTTGTCTCTGGGTCCGGGAAATCCCTGCTCCTCGCTGCTGGCTGGCGGGGCCCTCACCACACTTTCAGGGTCAGGACAACTGCAGTCTTGAGTTCAGACGCCAAAAGCAGAAGCTCCTTGACCCCTAGGGAGGTCATCCTAGGGTCTCAGCCACATGCATTTCCCTCTGAAGGCCCAGGTCCAGCCCCACTCTGCTGTCAGCTGAGCCCCACCCCCGTCTGGGGCAGCCTTTGGGTTTCCTCCTGTCTAATAACCCTGGGGTCCAAGTTGGGCCCTTACTGGGGACAGCTGTCCAGTAGAGTTGGGACATGCTGCCCTGGGCTGACTCTGGATGAGCTGGGCCTCAGGGGTCCCTGCAGGTGCCTGAGTGGCTGGCGTGACATCTCACTGGCCTGCGGGCCTGCAGTCTCTGGTGCTGCTGTCCCGCCTGCCCTTCGTCCGGCTGTTCCAGGCGCTGCTGAGCCTGATTGCCCCTGAGTACTTTGACAAGCTGGCGCCCTGCCTGGAAGCAGGTGAGTGGCTGTCAGGTGCAGCCAGAGCGGTGTCATTTCCTGGCTGTGGCACCTGGTGGCTTTGGCAGGCAGCTTCTGCTGACGCTGGCCTCCTGTGTCTACAGTGTGCAGTGAGATTGACCAGTGGCCGGCACCCATGCCTGGGCAGACCCTGAACTTGCCTGTCATGGGAGTCGTCCTCCAGGTGAGGGCCGGCCGGTGGGGTGGGAAGGGCCGGCCGGCGGGGTGGGAAGGCCCGGCTGCGTGGAGACACCCTCTCTCAGCTGGCAGCCGCTCCCTTCCTCCCCCAGGTGCATGTCCCAGCCAAGGTGGACAAGCCTGACTCCAGTCCTCCGAAGCAGTGTGGCCATGAGGTGGGGCCCTCGCTCCTGGCCCAGTGGTGCCCACCTGCCTCAACCCTCCCACCTGCCTGAGCCTCCCCACCCGACCTGCTGGGGACCCCGTGGGGTGGCCAGACCCCAGGCAAAGCCCAGGGCCTGCGTTTTGGTGCAGGGTTGGGTGCTCCCTACCCTCTCCTGTGCTGCAAGGGGTGGGGGTGCAGCCCCCAGGGCTCTCCTGGGGTGAGCTACTTCTTGGGGCTTGTGGGGCACCAGCCTCGCCCTCAAGCTGACCTCACCCACCCTTCCTCTCAGAACCGGCTGCCAGCCCTGGTGGTCCTCACCAGTGTCCACGAGCTAGACTTGTTCAGGTGAGCCCTCACTGCCCGCTGCCCAGGTAGACAGTGAGCAAGCCCACGAGGCTCAGGCCCGTGCAGGGCAAAGGCCACTGCGGGGACTGCCCATCAGCAATTAACCCTCAGCCAGTTCCATGAGGGCCAGTTGTACACAAGAGGAACCCAATGCCCAGAGGAAATGGGCACAGTGGGCAGGAAGGTTCCAGAAGGCAGGTCCAGGGAGAGGAGCGGCTGTGTTGGGAGATGCTCACTGCCTGAGGCTGCCCCTCTCTGGGCAAGTCTGTGGAGGAGCTGGGCTTTGGAGACCGTCCCGCTCCATGCTGGGCCCAGCAGGAGCCAGGGCTGCCAGCTCAGGCAGGGGGCACGGGCCAGGCCCTCCCAGGTGGACTCTCAGAGCGTGGGGTGGCCCTACACACACCCTCGGCATCCGCAAACGTCCTCATCACCGTCGGCTCTCCGGGGCAGTGCCCGGCATTCGTGGAGCTGGGTCTGCCTGTGCCCTAGGGAAGCGCCCAGGCCTCCCTGGGGGGTCGAGTGCTGGGGAGCCTCCACCCCTGCCGGGCCTCCCCACCTGCCTCTGCCCGGCCCCAGGTGCTTCCAGCCCGTGCTGACCCACGTGCAGATGCTGTGGGAGCTCATGCTCCTCGGGGAGCCCCTGGTGGTCCTGGCGCCCTCACCCGCCACGTCCTCGGAGATGGTGCTGGCCTTAACCAGGTAGGCCGGGCAGCAGTGGGAGGGAGCGTCGGGGGCCCCAGACCCTGCTGCGCTCATGCGCCTGCCGCACCCCCACCCCCGCAGCTGCCTGTATCCCCTCAAGTTCTGCTGTGACTACCGCCCCTACTTCACCATCCATGACAGCGAGTTCAAGGAGTTCGCGACACGCACGCAGGCCCCGTAAGTGCCCGCATCCTCTCTCCCTGCCTGCGCTCCACCGCCCTGGGCCTGCCTCTGCCTCTTCTCTCTGTCTCTCTCATTCTCTTTCCCCTCTAGACCAAACGTGGTCCTGGGAGTCACAAACCCTTTCTTTATCAAAACGCTCCAGCACTGGCCCCACATCCTCCGTGTTGGGGAGCCCAGGATGTCAGGTGAGGCTGGCCTGGCCTCTGCTTAGGGGTCCTGGTGACATAGGGTGGGGACTCAGAGGCCCACCCAGCCAGGGGCCTTGAGGAGTCTGAGCCTGCGGGCGATGAGCTGTGGCATTGAGGTCTGGCCATGGGGCATGCTTCCTAGGGGACCTTCCTAAGCAGGTCAAGCTGAAAAAGCCCTCGAGGCTGAAGACCCTCGACACCAAGCCAGGTATGTGCCCCTCAGGCTGGGCCCCTGCTCTTCTTCCAGGACCCAGGCAGCAGCTCTGAGGCCTCGGGGGCAGATGTTCTCTGTTTCAGCCAGTGGGAATGGGGGCAGAGGTGCAGGCACAGCCAAGGCTGGTTGGGCTGTGGGAGTGTGGGAGGGAGGCCCCCAAGGGACCAGGCCACAGCTCTGCCCTCCTGCCAGGCCTCTACACCGCCTACACAGCCCACCTCCACCGAGACAAGGCGCTGCTCAAACGGCTGCTCAAGGTACAGGCTGGGGACAGGCTTGGGGGGCAGGGGAGGTGTACTTGGTGTGTGTAGAGGGGTGCAGGTGGCTGGGGCTGCGTGGGGGCTGAGCCCATCCCCCCCAGCAGGGCCTGCAGAAGAAGCGGCCGTCAGACATGCAGACCACACTGCTGAGGCGGCACCTCCTGGAGCTCACGCAGAGCTTCATCATCCCCCTGGTGAGGCCCAGGGCAGGAGAGGAGGGGGCAGGGGTAGGGGGCTGTGGCCCCACACTCAACTCTCCTCCCCACCAGGAGCACTACATGGCCAGCCTCATGCCCCTGCAGAAGAGCATCATGCCCTGGAAGGTGAGGGTCCAGGTGGGGTCCAGGGAGGGACCGAGAGGGCGAGCTCCCCTCCTGATTCTAGAGAGGGAGGGTCTGGGAGCAGAGGCGGGAGGAGGTCGTGGGTGTATAGGAGCCACCTGCCAGCCATCCCTCATGGGACAGAGAAATGGGGGCCACATGGAGGGGCTCAAGGCTCTCCATTCTGGGAGGACTGTCCTGGGATCTGTCCCAGACAGGGTGGGGGCTGGGGGTCCTCAGACAGGGAGTGTGTCTGGGGAGGGTCCTGGGCAGCCGAGGTGCAGGGTCTGTGAGGCTCTGCCCCCCCAGGCACCCGGGCTTACCTGGCTCCTGTCTCAGACCCCTCCCCAGATCCGTCCCTTCCGCCAGGATGACTTCCTGCGAAGCCTGGAGCACGCAGGGCCCCAGCTCACCTGCATCCTCAAGGGTGACTGGCTGGGCCTCTACAGGTGGGTAGATGGCAGATGAGAGTCCTCAGGCTCCTGCTGCTGGTAGGCGCAGGCTGCCCGTGCCCACCCCTTGGCACACAGGTTCAGCCCCATAGCCACTGCCTCTTGCCACCCATAGGCGGTTTTTCAAGTCCCCACATTTTGATGGCTGGTACCGGCAGCGGCACAAAGAGATGGTCCAGAAGCTGGAGGCCCTGCACCTCGAGGCCATCTGTGAGGCGGTAAGGGGGGCTGAGGGGGAGGCGCAGGCCCAGGGTAGGGGCTGGGGGAGTGGGGGTACAGAGGCCCAGGGCTGGGTGAGGGCCTTGGTGATGGCCCCATCTTGTCCCCGGCAGAACATTGAGGCCTGGATGAAGGACAAGTCCGAGGTGGAGGTCGTGGACCTGGTCCTCAAACTTCGGGAGAAGCTGGTGAGATACCCTCCAGCCCCGCCCAGCCTCGGCCAGCCAGACATGGAGGTCGCCTGCCTCTGACCATCACTGCCCCTGCAGGTGCGGGCACAGGGCCACCAGCTCCCCGTGAAGGAGGCGACACTGCAGCGGGCACAGCTGTACATCAAGACTGTCATTGGCTCCCTGCCCGAGGACCTGCAGGCCGTCCTGTGTCCTCCCTAGGACCAGGTCAAGGGATGTGGTCCAGGAGCCTGGCTGCCTCTAGGGTCCTGGGCTGGCCGAGCTTTCTCTTCCCCAGGGAAGGGCAGCCTCACCAGGCTCCCCGCTACTCCCAGCCTCTGCCGTCTGCTCAGCACCACCATTGTCCCAGCGGTAAAGGTGGCATTTGGAGCCACAGCCTGGCCCGACTGTTGGTGGCTTATGTGCTGGCCACAGCTTCACCCCTGCCCCCAGGGCTGGGCCCCACCTGCCCTCTACAGGGCCGCAGGCTGGGGGGTGGGGCCAGCAGGGAGCCCTGCTGGTCTGGGCCCCAGGCAGCCCACCCCCTCCCGGTGCCCATCTGCCCCAGCCCTGTGGGCCCCAGGCCTTGTGTCTGATGTGTCCTGTAGCCTCACCAGGCTGCCCATCCCAGGACAGAGGAGGCAGCTGACAGGCAGACCCCCCTCCTCACACAACCCACCCACCCATCTTGCCTGGGCCTGGGCCATACCTCGCTTTCCATCATGGGCTTGGGAAGGGCTGAGACCATTCTGCTGGGTGAGGAGCTTTGCCCTGAGGTTTGTTGGGGGGCCACCAGGGGGCGGTGTGGGGCCCAGCTGGCTGCCACGAGGGTCCAGGGCATTGTCTGGGTCCCACTCCTGGAACACCCCACTAGGCACCATCTTGTTCGTCCTGCCCCATGCTGCTTCTCAGCTGGCAGGCACTCAAGTCATCCCCTTGTGTTAGTCCGCCCCACATGCAGCCCTCCACAGCCGCTGCAGCCTTGGGGCACCGTGCTCCTTGGCAAGGAATGAACAGCCCTCAGAGGTGACACACTCCCCCATGCGACACCCAGTACTGTCACGGCTCAGCACGGTGACAGCGCTGTCAGCCAGTGGGAGGGTGGTGGGCATGAGGCGTGGACCCAGAACTGCAGGCCTTCGGGTAAGTCTCCCGCCCTCCAACCCTCAAACCAACTCCTTGAACTAGGTCCTGGCAGAGGTGGGTGTGGGCTGGGGGCTTTCACTTCTCAGAAGCCCCCACTCAGTCTGCCCCCCAGATGGAGCGCTCACTGATGCCTCCACTCCTCCCGTGCTGCGTTTGGCCGAGGCACCAGACCCCACTGGGTGCTGGTCTCAGAACTGCCCACGTGGACTTGTCCGGCCCTGACCACGACCTAGGACAGCCTGTCCCTGTCCCCGTTTTACAGACAGCGGGGCCCAGTTGGGTGCAGGGTCCAAGAACGCTGCCGCAGTTAAACAGAACAGGACAGAGGCAGGCAGGGGCAGTCAGTGCACTTTTACAGAAGAGACAAGCTGGGGACACTGGAGTGAGCAAGGCACTACATTTGCCCCAAATGCCACTCTGGTCAGCCTGCCCCTGGCTGTCTGGTCTGGAGGGGTGGCCTCCCTGTCAAGGGCGTGGTCTCCAAGGGGGTCTGCAGAGATGCCAGCACCTTCTTTGTGACTGGCTGGCTCTCTGACTCCATAAGAAGGGGCAGAAGGGACTGCGGAGGTCCTGCCTTGGGCCACCCTCGCTCAGGGCTCTTTTCTGCTGCCAGAGATGGTGCTGGGCCTGGGCCCCCTTACGATTGTGACCCCACTCGTGAGGGGTATGCCCCAAACATCACTCCAGCTTATGCTCCCCGAATTGTAGGGTCACCTCACTTGGCTTTCTGAGGGTTGCTGTGCGTGAGGGAGGGCTGGGGCTGCAGGAGAGGGGCTGCAAGGGGGCCTCCGTGAAGCTCCCAGGCCCTTGGCCAGCATCAGCCCAGGAGGCACAACCACGTTCCCCTGATTCCCTGTGTCCTCCCCAAGGGCTCTGGTTGAGGCTGCACAGCTGTCCCTCACAGCAGCTCATCCTCAGGACCATGGTGGGTAGGGGCTCAGGGGAGGGACATCTGGCAGGGTGGGCAAAGCTGCCCGGCAGAATCCAAGGCTGAAGTGTAGGGTGGGAGGAAGCCCCTCCCCTGGAGCGCCTGGAGCCATGGGGGTCCTTCTTCCTCCTGGCCTGATCCCTCTGCGCAGAGGCCTCTGGCTACAGTGTAGGGTGGGGGTGGGGGACGGCTAGGCTAGAGTCCTGCCAGCTCCATCCTCTCCCCCAGAAGCCCCCTCGTTCCCTCCCAGTCAGCTCTGGCTTGGCTGAGCCTCTGTCCCCCCACGAGGCTGGGGGCAGGCAGTGAGGAGGGAGGAAGGGACAGATGGGTCAAGAGAGGCCCGTGGGCAAGGGGCCCGGATAGGCAGGAACCAGTTGGTCCAAGAGGGTGCTGTGGTTGGTCACTGAGGCCCCTGAGGTTGGAGGGGCTGTTTGCAGGGCCTGGGGTGGTGGCTCTGGGTGGGGGTGGGTCGAGTATGCCAGTCAGTGGCTCCGGAGACAGGAAGGACAGTGCACCCCCAAGCTTCCTGCACTCTATTTAAAGACTCCCTTTTAGTCTGGGATGGTGGCCTTCCCACATTTTTGGTATTAAAATGTCCTGTGACACAAAGCTTGTCTTGCAACTTCCCTTTTTGATAAAAAGTTGGCATCCCTGTCAGACTCTGACAATTCTGGGGTCCCCTGTGGTGGGGGCTTGGGTGGGCTGTGTTGTGGACGCAGCTCAGGGCTGAAGGGGGAAGGTCTGGCCTGGCTGGTGCGAGTGGGAGGTCAGCGAGATGCTGAGAGCCAGTGAGTGACATCCTGTGGATGCCCCAGTGGCTTCATCTGGCCAGGCGTTCTTGAGCACTTGCGGGAGGACACAGGAGGAAGTGGACTGTCTGCAAGGAGGCCACAAGTCTGGGTGAGGGTGGGTCCCCAAAGAGCACAGGGGCATCCCAGTGTGGGGGTGCAGGTTAGGGTTTGGGGGATGGTCCCTAGCTGATGCTCACCACACCCCATCCTGTGACTGGAGACCACCTGTGTCGGGCAGCCGGAGAGAGCACACAGAAGAGCTGGCCTCACGAGGGTCCCCACCTCCTCTCAAGTTCAGGGGGCCCCAGGGGCATCAGGACCAGGGCAGACGGGCTGGAGTGACCAGAAGTGGAGTGAGCTGAAGTCCAAAGACAGAACTCCCAGGGAGAGGCTCCCTCTCACCACCTACCTCCGGGCACCCAGACACCGGCTGATGGGTCCTGGGTGCAGGTCCCCAGCAGCCCACTGGGGGTGGGGGGAGGAGAAGGGAAGGCAGCTGTGGGCCAAGGATGGGTTGTGAGGGGACTCTTGGCAGGCGCCCCCTTCCCTTAGGAGGTTGGGGGACTGAGGCTCCTGGAAAAGGGTCAAGGCCCAGCAGCCCCCCACCCCCAGAAAGGGCAAAGGTGTGGGCAGCCAGTTCCCAGTCCGAGAGTGGGGGTGCTGGTGCCCCACGCACCTCAGAACCACGAGGGCAGGGTGCTCTCCCCAACTGCGGAGTGCTGAGGCCTGGGCCTCCCTGTGCCCCGGGACGCTCCGGGGATGGTGCCGAGGCCGAGGGGCACTCGCTGCATGGTGTAAACCTGGGCCCGAACTGGGCCGAACCTCCCCAGCAACGCGGCAGGCCCACTGTGGCAGTGCCGGCCCTCCCCTCCCCTCCCCTCCCCTCCC